TTTATTAAAATAAAGTATATTTATAATGAAATGCCTTTATCACTGCTTAAATACTATGAAATATGTTGCGTGCCTTATTCTGTGTAAGAAGCCACATCATCTCACAGAAGGATTTATTTCAAACACTCGACTGACGTTATGAAGTGAGTTTGGAGTAAAAATATGTTATTAAATGTGGTATTTTTTTATGCGATTTTTTTGCGTAACTTGTCTGTGAACTACGGCTCTGTGTAGTAAATTCTGCTCCATCTGAAAGCACGTGATGATGATTTCCTACTGATTACAGAACCGGCATTACTATCAAAATGCGCATGACAATCGCATTCGATTAATCGTGCAGCCATAATTTCTACAAAATGACTGGATTGTTGCCCATAGACATAAATCTGAGAACTGCAGGTCATTTATGCTTAACATATTGGATTGTTTATTTTTCAGTGTAATTCAGAAGGTTACGTTTATTTTTCATAACAATGTTCAAGACTTGGCATCAATCGTGGGTATGTGGGTGGCATAGTAATTAAAATACACTGGTATTGTAGAGCGTTGGCATGTGCCATGTAGGTCTTATATTTGGTTTAACTGTATGTCTTTCTATCTGTCTCTTTCAGTCCTGAGGTGTCAGATAGCTCCTCCTTTGATGTCCAGTTAGGGGACATTATTTTAACCGCTACTGACGGCCTCTTTGACAACATGCCTGACTACATGATCCTGCAAGAACTCAAGAAACTCAAGGTACAGACAATACATGCAATAAATGTGAAGTACTTGGGTGACAGTCAACTGATTTGGTTTTTGGCTTATACCAATATTCTAGAGATTTGTGTGGCCAGTATATTACCAATTTGTACATGATAGTGTTATGATAGCAAATAAGACGAAATTGGACCCAAGGGGACGAGTCAACAATTACACCATCCTGCATCATATTTGCTGAATGAAATCCAGTACTTGTTTCTTACTAATTTCGGGATGCTAATTCCAAAAATAGTGCCTATTTTGCTCAGGCAAAGTAGGATGCTTTTCATAGCATTTTTGCTTTTGACATCCATTTGTAAGGTGAGGAAATCTTGTATTAATACAAAGACATGATTCCTGTCTTCCTCTGGGCCAGGTTACAACCGTCTCTTCAATTCTCAGCCAAATTGCACATGTATAACTGATTGTGAAGACATTAATTTATGCCTTATACTGATTTTCATTTTTTTCCCACTCCTTTGCAGATTCTAAGTTAAATGATGCATTTGGAGTACTTTTTGTCATTAAAACTGAAGCTTTTGATAACACAAAATTATACATTTTGGCAATATTAAGGTTTTTTACAAACAGCAGATTTTGTTTTTCAAGATGCAGGGCTGTGTTATCGACTGATACTGATAATCTTAGAATAAAATTGCCCGATATATCAGTCTAACACTATACTTGGTTATTAGTATGATTTCCAACTTTTTCATTTTATTTATCTTTAGGTTATCTGCCCATGCTGATGATCTCAAAATAGCCATATAATTAATCTCCCATGCCGATATATCGGTATAATATCGGTGGGTACTCTCCACGTTTTTCATTTTATTTATCTCCAGAACACCAACTATGATAGTATCCAGCAGACTGCCCGCAGCATCGCTGAACAGGCCCACGAGTTGGCCTATGACCCCAACTACATGTCCCCTTTCGCCCAGTTTGCCTGTGACAACGGGTTGAATGTAAGAGGTGAGTCTTCAAAAAGAGGTTCTTGATTTCCATTACCCTTCTTATCCCAAAACTTCTTTGAATATCCATAATCAGTTGTACTGACCTTGTAATTGGTCTGTTTTCAGGGGGGAAGCCTGACGACATCACAGTGCTTCTGTCCATCGTGGCAGAATACACAGACTGAGCGCGCTCAATGGAGCTTGCTCTTCTCTTACTCCTGTGTCTTCCACCCCTGTCCTATTGCACTGCTCCCCATCTCACATCTCCTAGCACCCCTTTCCATTCTTCCATTTCTCAAGTAGATCTCCAGTCAACGCAGGGAGGAGGATAGTGTGAACTCGTTGGCGTGGGTGGTGACGCAAGCGGTACAAACAGTCCAAAATTGACGACCTTACTTGTGTCCAAAAGGATTTTGGGAATCTTCAACCCGTGTTGTGAATTTGAGTCATTTTAGTTTTCCAAAAGGCAAGGAGAGCCATGCATTACACACAAAAATTGGTTTCTTATTGAAGAAGCTGTTATATTCACTTGTGTGGTTTGTGCAAATGAAAAGTTGTTGTTAAATACTTGGTTGTCTATGTCTTGAAAGAAAATTTAAGCGTCTCTGAAGTCGCTATGAGCTGGAGTGCCTCTATGTTTGTGAGTGTGTGTACGTGTATTACGTGTCCCGTTTGCTTGTCGGTCAACTTTGGTTAAGCTGTAACAGAAAGGTAGGTTATAGTTCAGAAGGAGGCCTGGCTAGATTTAAACCTGTTGGGAAATGCAAGTGCTTTAGGATGTGCTGGCTAGTTCTGTTTAGCCAGCATATCTGCCTCTAGTTAGACAACCTTCACCTACACAGTCACTTTGTGAGGTCTCCGATAATGGATTGCAAGTTCAAAGGCATGAAGGAGATGGGCTATAAATGTACAACTTGTGTTTGGTTATATAAGATAGAAACTAAACTGCACAGACATCACAGACTTAGTCAGGGTCGCGCCATATTTAAGTTTTCACAGGAATGAAAATGAGGCTGTGAGGGACAGAAGTACAGCGCTTTCAGTGGGTTGTACTGTTGTTTAACTACATACTGATTGTTTAGCTGATGAAACGTCTTTCCGAAAAACATTCAATAGACAAAAACTCCATAAAATGGTTATCAAAGTTAGAAAATTACATAATCTTGGACCTTTATATATTGCATGCCTTTGTAAAGTCTATCCTTCACATCCTCGTTTTCAATATGGCGTCAAACCTGACGAAGGTCTGTACCAGAGAATGTCACAATCCGCTGATAGACAGATACACTCGCTCACGGGGATTGTGGATGTTGACTGTGAATGCGTGTTGGATGTATATTTACATGACTTCACCTCTCGACCCTTGAGTTTGAAAGTCTGCACGCACAAATGGCTAGCAGCTGGCAATGCTTTTCATGAATTGAAAGGTCAGGTATATAAATAAATGTTTTATTTTTTATAAGTATTTAGCTTTTAGTGGACAAGATTCAACAGAATGCAGAAGTTAGGGAACGCTGGTCTTTACGGATCGACCGTAAGGCCTTTCAGCGTTTTCTGTGCTCCCTAGCGAGGCTTGGGTTATTTTTTTAACTGATTGAACGCTTTTAGTTTTTTTCCAGTGTTGCTCTAGATTGGTTCTAGAGAACTTTTTCACATTCATGTGCTGCTTTAATTTTGTAAATTATAAATGTGTGAGTGACTACATTATTTATAAGTCAACAGAATGCAGAAGTTAGGGAACGCTGGTCTTTACGGATCGACCGTAAGGCCTTTCAGCGTTTTCTGTGCTCCCTAGCGAGGCTTGGGTTATTTTTTTAACTGATTGAACGCTTTTAGTTTTTTTCCAGTGTCGCTCTAGATTGGTTCTAGAGAACTTTTTCACATTCATGTGCTGCTTTAATTTAGTAAATTATAAATGTGTGAGTGACTACATTATTTATAATAATGTTTTTACCTGTACAATAAAAAAATGGGTGAGCTGATGGCGATTTTATTTCACGAAAGTGACAATTCATGCAGACCGTTGAGTGTGCTTGGCTTGCAGTCTTTGGATAAAATGGAACACTGATTCTATGAAAAGCATTAACTATACAATATATGTCCAGTTTATTGAGATTGGAAAAAACTAAGAAATACAGATATTTAAAATGTCTTTTTAGTTTTGTTTCTCCAATATCTGTGAAATATTGTGCATGCCCAGGATGGCAAACCTCAGTCAAGTATGCATTCAGTTGGGTAAAAATTACTGATATACAGTGGTGTGAAAAAGTGTTGGCCCCTTAAGAGATTTCTTGATTGCGAACAGGTGTGGCAGTAATCAGGCCTGGGTGTGGCTAGAGAAATTGAACTCAGGTGTGATAAACCACAGTTTTAACAGGGGGGCAAACACTTCTTCATTTGATGATCTGAAACACTTCGTTTGATGATCTGAAACATTAAAAGTGTGACAAACATGCAAAAAAATAAGAAATCAGGAAGGGGGCCAACACTTTTTCACACCACTGTATGTATAGCCCATGAATAAATGTGATTTTAAGCTTCATATTTGAAATCCTGTGTAACTAAACATGGAACTCAATGTTTTGTGAGGTTTGCCATCCTGATATGTCCCACAAAGGCATGGCTCTACTGACAGACAGAGAGGACTATAATCGAGTCCTCGGTTGTGCCTGCAACACAATTTGACCAGAACTGTGGTCTCTTATTACGTGTAACATCTTGTGGGTTGTGGTCATGTTGAAATCAACATCTCTATCCACATTGTGTAATCGGTAAAGAAAACCAAAGCACGAAAGCCATAAGACCATTATGACCGAGGTATTCTCACCCAACGTCTCACTGTCATATACAAAAGCCGCAGATGAATTGTTAAATGTTGAGAGTATCTGCCAGAATCACCATCGTGTCCCATGTCTGTTTTGCTTTATAAATAAATGAAATGGAAATCAACTAAACAGCCAGTCATGTGTAATGGATATTAAGATCAGTTGTGTACTTGACCATTAAAAATGTGTGATCTAGGTCGAAAATGTTTTAGCTGTCTTTTTATTTTAGTCAGTGGTGATGTGTGTGTGATATCAGCGCCTCTAGAGGCAGCAAATGGAATTGCATTTTTTTTTTTTTTTACAGTTTTTTTTTTTTTTTTTTTTTTTTTTTTTTTTTTTTTTTTACAGTTTATTTGAGTAATGAAAGTGTTTGGCTTTGTTCAGATGGGCAATAAGAATTGGGATTATTTATTTGGGATCAGGAAAGTCATAAATAAAATAAATAAATTAGAAATAAAAAAAAAATGTATTAGGGACACCCAAAAATGTAAATGATAAATAAAATAATTTAAAAAACCTGATCTAAACAACATCATACAAAAGACAAATGCAATGTCATAAAAATTCTGTATTGTTTAATCTGTCCGAATATTCACATTTTGTTCACTTTTTCCCCAAGAGGCAAGTTTTCGAATTTATGTCTTCTCTTTACATTGACAGCTACTCTCAATTGTTGTTTGAGAAGTTATTTTGGTATTCCAACTGATAACACTGGATATTGACTGTTTGAATACACCGATGTGACTTCTTCACTTACAAAATGCTGGTGCAAAAAATCAGTCCCAGAGATAGATTATGAAAAACCAATTTGTGTACAGTGTAAACAAAGCCAAAGAACCTTGCTTGAAAACATTATTTTTGCAATTCTGTTTGGCGTCACTGGTGGTGCATAAATGACACGTTTCACCGTTAGTGACATTGCATGAGATGATGTCGTGACTGAACCTTTTTGTGTCTGGAGTTTTGCCACTTTGTTTCCCACACACACAACACACATTTTTCCAAATTCTCTTATGGCAGATGTGCTTTTATAAATTCTAGTGCAATTTTCCTACATCATCAATTCAAAACAGGAGAGTTGCCTCCACGAGTTGGGCTGATAGTGACTAAACGCCTCTCAGATCTGTTTCACTGTGAGTGAACCAGGAGTGGCTCCATCATACAAATCAATATGCCGTTTGCGCCTTAAATTCTCATGCTGTCCCATTCAGAGGCCTTTGTGTGGCAAGGCTTGCGTGTCTCATCTGGGTGTCGCTTACAGCGGTGTCCTCGATTCTGGTTGTATCATCTGTCCTCTCATTTAATGGTTTCTATGGTGCTTCTGCAGTCAAGATGAATCTCTGTCTCTTAAGCAGACATTGTGCAAATGAGAACCATACTTTTTGTGTGTACAGTGTAACAATGCAAGAAAAGTTCCTGTAAATATGTTTTCCAAGTTGTAAAATATTTAAATAAAAATATAGTATTTATACTAAAATACGACTTATTATTGTGTCACTGTGTTTTTACATGATATGAATATTCTTTGAATTTTACCTGAAACTTCAATGCATTTATTTCACATTAGTATTAATGATTTTAACTTTTTATTTACTACGGAAAAACAAATGTAATTTCTACATTAAATAATTTAGTTCAGGCAATAATTTAAAAAAGTACGTTCTATATCAGTACTCAGTTCAAGTAATCAGTAACAAATCAGTACTCTATCTATCATCTGTCTGTCTATCTATCTATCTATCATCTGTCTATCCGTCCATCCATCCATCTAGCTAGCTCTGGAAAATTTAAGAGACCAATGCAAAATTATCAGGTTTGTGTTTATATGTATGTGTTTATGTAAAATGAACATTTTAGTTTTTTACTATAAACTACTGACAACATTTCTCCCAAATTCTAAAAAAACAAACAAAAAAAACATTGTCTTTTATAGCATTTATTTGCAGAAAATCACAACTGGTCAAAATAACAAAAAAGAAGATACAGTGTTTTCAGACCTCAAATAATGCAAAGAAAACAAGTTCATATTCATTTTTTAAACAACACAATACCAATGTTTTAACTTAGGAAGAGTTCAGAAATCAATATTTGGTGGAATAGCCCTGGTTTTTAATCACAGCTTGCTCTCCACCAGTCTTTCACATTGCTGTTGGGTAACTTTATGCCACTCCTGGCACAAAAATTCAAGCAGCTTGCTTGTGAAAACCTATCTTCCTCTTGATCACATTCCAGAGGTTTTCAATGGGGTTCAGGTCTGGAGATTGGGCTGACCTTGACAGGGTTTTGATCTGGTGGTCCTTCATCCACACCTTGACTGACCTGGCTGTGTGGCACGGAGCTTTGTCCTGCTGGAAAAAAACAATCCTCAGAGTTGGGGAACACTGTCAGAGCAGAAGGAAGCAAGTTTTCTTCCAGGACAACCTTGTACGTGGCTTGATTCATTAGCCCTTCACAAAGACAAATGTGCCTGATTCTAGCCTTGCTGAAGCACACCCAGAACATCACCGATCCTCCACCAAATTTCACAGTGGGTGGCTTGTAGGCCTCTCCTGGTCTCCATCTAACCATTAGATGACCAGGTGTTGGGCAAAGCTTGGATCCAATCCTTATGGTCTTTTGCAAACCTCAGCCTGGCTCTTCTTTGCTTCTCATTGATGAAGGGCTTTTTTCTAGCTTTGCAGGACTTCAGCCCTGCCCCTAGGAGCTTGTTTTGATCTGTCCTCGCCGTGCACTTCACCCCAGCTGCCGGTTGCCATTCTTTTTGTAGGTCACTTGATGTCATCCTACAGTTGTTGAGTGACATTCGAATGAGTTGGCAGTCATCCCGGTCAGTGGAGAGTCGTTTTCGCCCTCTGCCGTTCTGTAGCTTTGTTGTTCCCAATGTCTGCAGCTTGACCTTGTTCTTATGAACCGCTGTCTTTGAAGCTGTCTTTGAAATTTTAAGATTGGAAGCAACCTGACGCTCACTGTATCCCTCCTTTTCCTCATTCAAAAATGTTTCAACTCTTGGTTGACATGGTCAATAGTTATTTTTGGATTCCAATTACTTTTGAGGTACTACTAGCACTGTTTTTTGCCATCCAGCTGGTATATAATATATAATAGGATCTGCTGTGTTTTCTTCTGCTGACTGCTGTAATAGTGCTGTGTGTGTGTTTCACCACCAAGAGAAACCAGTTACTAACTCACATCAGTAACCCGACTGAAGAAAGACAGCAGTTAGAGAATTACAAGTTCCTACTGCATCATTGGCTTTATGAACAAGGTAAGTTTCTCT